ATGTTGTTGGTGGCTGAGTGACATACCTGTGTGGTCCAGGCTGAGCTGAAACTTTTGATTTTCGAGAAGTCGGGAAAGGGATGCAAATAAGTAGGTAGCTCACGTGCACAGTAACGCTCGCAGTCGCTGAGAGTATCGAACTGATTGTCGTTGCCTCCTCGTCCTTCATAGACAAACTGCTCGCACCGCAAATTCTTCATGTTGAAATACCTTCAAATATGATTCTTCGATGGCATCAACTCTTGAAGAAGTCGTTCTCATCCCAGTACAAACACCAAGCATGTATGAAGGCCTGTTGGTTGTTTTCAAACCCCATCAAGGTGTGGTTCGCATAGGCAGAAGGTGCTGTGGTTTTCTCCTTTCCCAGCTTCTTCAACGTTATTCTTTCGGGACGAAGGTCTCCCACTAACTTCATATGGTAAGCCAATAACTGGCATCGTAGTGATCTGGGGCAAAAATACGAACTGGAGATGGAATGGATCCCAAACGCCATTGAGGCGAAACTAATCATCTCTAGTGAATAAAAGTGTTCTAACGTCAGAATGCTTTCACCTCCTATTGGGCCAAATGTCGCATACCTCCCAAATTCTTAGTGAAAATTGAAGGAACGAGGTGCGAGTCACCGGCCAATCTTTAACCCATGAATTACCCCAGCTTGTGTAAACGATGGCACCAGCTGCATTGGCCAGCAACCCATTGGTTGTTCACGAAGAGCAGATTCTTATCAAGTGATCTCCCGAAAAGAAACAGGATAGGTCGAAGGGTAGCGACACAACTACGAGATCCCGCTTTGATAGAAATGAGCACAAGGAGCACGGCTTTGCAGTAAAGGGTTGTTAGCGGTTATGTGAGCAAATACCTCGCCATGCTTATTATACTATCAAGAGCAGCGACGAGCCCACAAACAAAGCGGTAAGCGTGATAATTTGGAGTTCACATTCTTTATTTCGAAATAAAATCCACGATAAGGTCGGAAATCGAGGAAGAAGAAGTGTACTTATTGGAAAGACAGGAAGGGCATGCCGATAGTGGCTTAGGAGGGCCGTACCCAGCAGCTCGCGCCGCTACCTGCCCTGCGAAGGCTGAGAAATAACAGAAGCGTTTCGGACGTTTATGTTAATTTCACCATAGTTTGTTTACCATTTCTTGAGGTTTCAAGCGGTCGTATCTTTTAGTTTTCCTAAGTAGTGCGTTATCAATCGAAGGATGATGCCTGCTGACATGATGCCGGCTATCGCGCTTGACACGCGCTACAAGCTCGTCTCAGGCTCGTCCCAAGCGGAAAGGGTTCTGTGCGGTTTTTCTTGCTATTTTTCTTTACTACTTCACTTTTGACCACATCTGTTGTCATATCTTACGGGCGGCCATGATATCGTTTACTCCGCTTTTGAAGGCGATGGTCGGGACTAGGTGACCAAACCGATTACTTTCATCACCTCTGTGCTTGCTTACGCGGAGCATCCAAACCCCCCCCTGTGCTTGCTTACGCACCACGAAGCGGATCCATCATGACGCATTCCGACAACAGCGCGGATAATGGGACCGCCCGGGAGACACTGAGCTACCGCAGCCTGCTTAGCTAAAATGGGACGCTACCGGGATCAAGAGCGCTCACGTGTTCCATCCTGGAGTAGTAGAAAGGCCGACAAGCGTTGGATGTCGCGCCCCTGAAAGTGCGCGACAAAGGCGCAAGGAGCTCGTCCAACCCGCAATCCACACCTTCGTCCGCAAGTCCCACCCTCCGCAGTTGCTGCCATGAGGCAGCGATCTTTGCCTACAGCGGAGGTTGAAAAGCGCGGACACATTCTGGGCAGCGACTGCATTGTGGCTCTGGAACAACGAGAGTAGGTTCGCGAAACTCGGTCCAGAGCGCCCCTTCCCATCCAGGTGGAAGGTGACTGAATCGGGGAGATTTTATGCGAAACGTAATCGGTGAGTCTGTGTGAGTACCTCTATTCTGTTGCAAACTGGAAGCTTTCCCTTACCAGTTCTATCCATAGCTTCCATAAATATAAACCGCGAGAGGTCGGTGCAGGCGTTGGCATTAAGGGCATGAAATCGTGGGTTGATTTTAGTGTTATCCCCTATAATGGTGGCACAGAGCTAAGGACTGGCAATCCGAGAGAATCGCTCGGACAATTTCCTACTAGTTTTACGGCACCTTTACGCAGCTGTAGGAGAGAGAAGGGTTTCTATTTTCCGCCTCGTTTACGGTGTTCTTCATTTTTCTTCCCTGTCGTTCCATTTTGCATCCCTACACTAAATTTCAAGCCCTATAATACCCGAATCGAGCCCGACCTCTGCCGGCTGAACATAATTTAATATCCTACTAAGGGGAGTGCACTAAGAGGAAGGGCTCTCATCACACCAAAAATAGCCTTATGGAGCAAGTTGCCAGCACAAGCACAAGCCATTTGGGAGTTCCGATTTGCTCTCAAGATTAACAGCTCACCACTTAACGTTGTAACCTTTGCCGAAGCCTCCATCTCGCTCGTATGTGCATCGTTCGGGTACGTGAGATAACAATGCAGCATGAGCTGAAATTCTAATTCATAGTTGTACACCGAGCAGGACATGAGAGATGCCCATCGAGAAGAACGGCTAGATGACTCACCTGGCATGCACTTGATTTCACACACGGTCCTATCAGCGAAGTTGTTCTCGTTTCCGCCACAAGAGCCATACGAGAACTGTTCACACTGACTGCTTTGGGCGTTGAAGAACCTTAAATACGACGTGTACTCAAATTCTTTCGAGAAAAGATTTGAGCCGACTGAACAGTGTTTGTAAACCTTACCATCGAGGAACATAATCGAAGCATGATCCTGCGTCCGGTGGTAGTGCGCAAACAACTCGAGCGTCGAATTCTCTCTGTTCCGGTGGTTGTACACGTGCTGGTGCGATAGCTCTCGGCACAGGAGGAGCCGTTGCGGAATGCGTCGTACTTGGCGAAGCTGTTGTGGGCACTGGTGCTGGAGTAGAAGAGGACCGTGTTGTGGAAGGTTGCGTAATTGGTACTTGCGTCGTCGTCGGAGCTTGCGTTGAGGGAGCGGGCGTCGTCGCAGGCTGCTTTGTCGACGCTTGCGTTGCCGGTACTCTTACTGTCGACGATATTGTCGTTGGTGCTTCTGTAGGGACAGGGATGGTTTCAGTCTGCGTTGACAGCGATTCCGGTACTGGTCTCCATTTCTTTCTTGGTGGTTGCTGTTGACGTAGACGTGGCTTGTGTGGAACTCACGACTGCATCAGTTGAAGTAGGAGAAGCCGCGCTCGTGGTTGAGTTCGAAGTGCTCGTAGCCAATGGAATTATGGTAGTTGGTTCTTCTGAAAATCAAGGAAAGTTGCATTTTGAAAGCAGGTCTCCTTGGAATTATCAGATGCGGCACCAATGCCTGTATAGACTTATTCTGAACGCGGATGCCGTTGGCACTGTATAAAAGATGCTTTGACTGTTGCTTTGATGACCCGTTTTTACCTAACCTACTGTCTGGTTCCAAATTAATGAGAAGCGCTCGTGTCGTATCAAATCTGATTTCCTTGAAGGGGTCGCTCCATTTTGAGGAGTTCAGTCGAAAACAGGGGCATCATTCCAAGGAATAGTCGAAACCGTAGAAAATCATTAAAGGCAAGTCCCAGGATGAGAACTGGTGATAAAAGCGCTTAGTAATGTTGATTGAGCTGCGGAACGGCCTGAAAGCTAGAAAAATCTTTGGGATCAC